TCAGTCCCTGCACAGCTGCCATTTCTATGAAAAACTCAAAGGTGGAGAAGTTTGTTAAGAAGGTTACAGTGTTCTGCTTGGAGAGTCTGAGGCGTAGGGGAGAGAACCAACCGGACTTTGGGGGGTCATTTTGCAAGGGGGAGCACCATTGTGCATCCTTCCTGCAGTTTCTAGAAGGGAAACTAATTCATGAGGGGCAGCTGGTGAGGAGTGGCCGGAGCTCTCAGACCCCACACAAAACGGAAGGACTCCAGAGGAGTCACATTCAGCGCATCAGCTGGACTTCAGTTGGTTTAGGAAAAAGGGGTCAAAAGCACTCTAAGCATAGGAGAAATTGTTATTGCAACTTGGCAGCTATTACTTGTGTTTATGGAGACAGGTGGGGAGGGACAGCCTGATGGTGCTGAAGCCATGAGAGGACCACCACATGGGGCTCAGGCCAGACAGGGTCCAGGGTGCCTGCTGACGGGATCCAGGGTGCCAGGGGCCCTCTCAGGGGCCCTCCAAGGGGCCATCTGCTCTTTCTCATTATCACTCAATAATGTCGAAACCTCATGAGAAGACAGTGATTTTTAGTAAGAGCTTTTCTTTTGGAGTCTGTCCAACCACTATGGTCTTGTGGCCTTGGCCCAGCTACTTAACCTCCCTAGATCTCAAACTCAAGGTGATGAGGAGACACAGGTGTTGAGGGGAGGGACTGACCCTGCTGCACACCTGCTCTAAGGAAGAGCTGCCCAGACAGGCGTTCACAGCTCATTCACATCCAGCCCCAGCCTCCCCGCTAGAAACCTGCCAATGTGGCCAAACATGCCTTAGCTCTGCTTGGATGAGGAGAGCTATGCTGGCCAGGGCCACAGCTTGGCCCAGACCAGAGGGTACCACTAAACACGGTGCCCTGGGATCTCAGCAGCTCTGCCCATGGTACTTCTAAAGGAAGGCCACTTCAAAGAAGAGGTCAGCTCCTCCAGGAGCAACTAGGTCAGGTCTGAGGAAGGAAGGGGCGTGACCAGGGTGATGATCTGAGCTGCCAGGGGTGCCAGCTCTTAGCAGGTGGCTCCACCCTCCCAGCTTTGCCTCTCCCAGGCAAGAGACCAGGGATAAGAAGGCAAGAAAGGTTGGGTGGCAGGACCCACCCCACAGAGGTCGGCTTCGTCCATTATCCAGTGTCTTTCAGAGGATGCACAAGAACCACGGGTGACCTTCATCTCTCCTCTCCTTGCAGCTCCCAGAGAACACCCTGCTAGCCGCGGGCCCTGCCTGTCTGCCCTTTTACCGCTCATCCGCCGCCTGCGGCACCGGGGACCAAGGCGCGCTCTTTGGCAACCTGTCCAAAGCCAACCCGCGGCAGCAGATGAACGGGCTGACCTCTTTCCTGGACGCCTCCACGGTGTACGGCAGCTCCCCTGCCTCGGAGAAGCAGCTGCGGAACTGGACCAGCGCCGAGGGGCTGCTGCGGGTCAACACGCGCCACCAGGACGCTGGCCGCGCCTACTTGCCTTTCGCACCGCCGCCTGCGCCCGCGGTCTGCGCGCCAGACCCCAGCGTCCCCGGCGCGCCCCGAGCCCCCTGCTTCCTGGCCGGGGACGGCCGCGCCAGCGAGGCACCCTCCCTGACGGCCGTGCACACGCTGTGGCTGCGTGAGCACAACCGCCTGGCCCTGGCGCTCAAGGCCCTTAACGCACACTGGAGCGCAGACACCGTGTACCAGGAGGCGCGCAAAGTGGTGGGCGCCCTGCACCAGGTGCGCGCATAGGGGTGCAGGCCACTCCCGGGAGCCGCGTGTGGGCGCCCGGAGTCGCCATAGGGCCACTGCACACACAGGCGGGCGCAGAATAGCTGGTGCCCTGCCCCAGAGGCGCACAAAGTCGCTGTGGGCGCTCTCTACTGGCCCTGCATGGGTGCGGATAGGGTCATTGCCAGTACCCTGCTCACCGCCCCCCAAAGGTCCTCAGCCAGCCCGTGGGATCCTGTCTCTGATTAGAGACACTGGGTGTTTGCACTGAGCAGGGTGAAGCAGGAGCATCAGGAGGAGTCAGGAGGTCCAGATGAGGAGGACTGAACATGGACAGGTCCTGGACAGAGTCACAGTGGTCACCATTAAAGTGACACCTCCAGGTCTGTTCGGTCTCCTCTCCCCCAGCCCCAGCTTCCTGCAACATCCACCTTGTCATTTTCAAAACTTGGACCTGCCCTATCCTTTTGTTGCTTGTGCTATGAAGGCCAGTGGAGGTCAGGCCACAGGTCAGTGCCTGCAGGCTCAGTGAGGGGCCAGGGCCCTATGAGTCCTGGTGCCAGCAGGCAGGGGCAGTTCTGAGACTGGCCTCAGCAGGGCACCTGTGGGAGAGGAGACCCTAACCCCCTCAGGGAGGTAGGGACAGAAAGGCCCAGGTGTAGCCACCCTCTGCCTGACGGAGTGGCTTCTGCCCAGCCCTGCAGTTCAAAGTAACCTTTTTCCTTATGTGACAGGGAGGAGAAAATTCCAGAATTTCTATGAAAGTCCAGGAGCCCCTGGAAACATTCGAGTTATAGGGCCCTGGGGGTGGGTGCTTCTGCAGCCTGGGCAGTTCAGGAAACTTCAGACCAGACCAGGGGAAGCCGTGAGGGAGAGACACATGTCCAGGTCTCTGACATGAAGGACCCTAAGCTGTGGTTGTGTGAAGGGTGGTCAGCCAGGGGTGCTGGTCAGCCAGGGGTGCTAGCCAGATGGGGAGTTCTGGTCAGCCAGGGGTGCTGGTCAGCTGGGATGCTGGTCTGCTGGGGTGCTGGTCAGCTGAGGGTGCTGGT